GATATAAGACTGGATCCATCTGATGATCCAATTGCTACGATTGTAGAAAGTACATATCCAATGTTCAAGAACGCAACTGACGATCCGAGTTATTTGAAGGATAGGGATATATTAGCTCCCACATTCGAAGTTGTTGAGTCCATCAATCAATACATGTCTGATATGAATTCTTCTAAAGGTCGTACGTACTTGAGCTCTGACAGTACTTCTAAGTCGGATTCTGGCAATGATTTCTTGGCCGATCTCCACACGCCAGAATTCTTGAATAGCATCAAGTGCTCTGGAACTCCCAATCATGAGTTGCACCTGAAGGTAGGAACTCCAGTAATGTTATTGCGCAATATGGATCATTCTATGGGACTGTGCAATGGGACGGGATTGGTTGCGACAAAACTCTCTGCTCATGTTCTCGAATGCAAGATATTGACGGGAGATCACGCTGGAGATAATGTGTTGATTCCTAGGATGATATCACTCCATCTGATACTAGGATTTCATTTAAGTTCCAGCGGCGATAGTTTCCACTTGTGATTTCGTATGCCATGACCATAAATAAGAGTGAAGGACAGTCTTTATCGCACGTTGGTCTATTCCTGAAGAAACTTGTTTTTAGTCACGGCCAATTATATGTTGTTTCATGTGTAACTAATAGAAGAAGGTTGAAGATATTAGTTTGTGATAATGAGGAGTTACCCAATAACCAAACTCATAATGTTGTGTACAAGGAGGGTTTTAATAATATATGATTTCATGACGAAACAATCCTTTTTTTTTTAAATGTTCCTACGTATTATAATTCTTTCAATCCTAATGATTACGAAATATTATATTATTCTCCTGAATTCTCCAAAATTATACAGCCCCGTGCATCGCACGGGTGTTGTACTAGTTTTTATTTATTAAGGGACTTAATATAGAATCCCCTCTTCTCTATATATAAATTTAGAATGGAATGAGCCTACGTGGCAAACTCTCACGCTTTGGAATCCTATTTGGCAAAAAATCATGGTTTGGAGTTAGGCTTGATATAAATTAATATTTTTTGTTACACTAAATCCATGATTGATTTTTTTTCGGATTAGTTTTTATAAATGTTTCTTCTTCTTATTTTAAGATTTTATAACTTTTTTGTTTGTATTTTATTTTTCATATATGATATATCAAATTAACTAAATTAAAATACAAAACAATAATATATATCCTTATAAATAAAATTTAAATTTATTTATCAAACTAAATTAAATTATATCAAATAAAACTATAAATTATATTCTAAAGTAATAGAAATTGGTATGTATTCTTATAAAAATGATATTTATCCCCCCTATATAGTAATTCAGAACGTGCTGAGCCTAAGTGGCAGACTCGCATGCTTCGGGATCCAATGTAGCAAAATTACATGGTTCGTTATTAGGTTTGGGCAGATTTTAATTTACTTCCAATCAAAAAATAATTAAGTTTGGATTATCCATAAATATGTTGATTATATTATGGTCATGTTACATGTATTCATTGCATTTTAATATTATTTCTTATTATAACCAATGAATTGTAAATATATTTAAAAGTTGATAATTTTTGTATTTTTTTATCAGTTTTACATATATAATATATCAAATTAATCATCTCTTGATGAACATCGATTTAACATCCATATTGTATGCATAAACAAATACATTTAATTTTATTTTTATAACAATAATAAAATTATTTTTCATATTAGTTAGAAAAATAAAATTATTTATCAATTAATATATTTATATTTCAAGTAGTTATATGATATAAGTTATAAAAATTGCTATAATATAACACATGTAAATCGCATAAGTAACAAGTGTCATTCTAAAATATATAATAATATATATTTTTTGTAAAAAAATAAATAAAATTTAAAATAATTTTTCTCATAAATTTACAATTTAAAAATAATTTTGTAACAAGCACCCGTGTAGTACACGGGTGTTGTACTAGTATCAATTATAATATAATTATATTATCTTTTCCTTTTCCTACTAATTTTACACTTCTTTTATTTTAAAATAATTTTCATCCTTTACATCGTCAAAAAAGGAATACAAAATATGGAGGAACTATTTGGCAAGATAAATAAACCTTTTTATATTTATTTAAAAACATAAAAAAAAAAAAAACAATGGACAAATTCTTTTTGCCATAATTAGCCAAATTCTTCCCGCCTAAAGTTTTCGGATAAATTTGGCAATACTTTTTGTTAAGTCATTTTATATAGATTTGGTAAGTCAACAAATATTGTTGGCATATATGAAATTATATTAACGCGTATTAACCCATGATATCATTTGGCAGAAATATCATGCGTGGATCGTAAAAATGGTAATATTTATGCATATTTATTGTTGGCATATTATACATGATATTTTTAACTTATATAAAGATGGTGATATTCTTACTTTTAAATCACACTAATTTAACTAATAATATTAGTTAATAATTCGTATAACCAATAAGTCATAAAACCTACATCTTCAAAGATTCACGAGTCATTTACCAATTATAAATTTGGTAGGATTTCATTGGTTTATGATTCATTATTTTGGTTAATTAATATTCATATTCTATTATTATTGTTTACCTCATATAATTGGTTTGACCTTGATATTTGAAACGACTGCATTGCATATAACTTAAAATGATTTACTAATTAATATATACATATTACCATCTTTACGTGATTCACAACGAATTGATGGACTCATTGTGTCGATCATACTCAACAAATAAAAATGGCTTCCCTCTTTGTGTCAATCTAAAATTTGACGAACTCATTGCCACAACAGGAAGAAACTTCATCTAATTAGAATGTACGGAAGGATTACAACCTATAGAGGACATATGATTCACTTTACTGAGTGCATCTTTTATGATTTTGAGGTGCATTTATTTTCCAATATATAATGTGCTATATAATAATTTTATAATGTCTTTCATTATTGTGTCTTTCTATCGTCCATTGAACATAATGTCTTTGTTCAAGTATGTATTAAATAATGATACTATGGTCTTTTTTATACTTTGAATTGTTGCTGGTATTATTACTAATTACAAATCACAAATTTTTTTGTCCTGGTGGAATTATTATTTGGGTAAATAATTTTTTCCAACCTGTACTATACGTGCTTTTGAGATTTTCAACCTAAAGTATTTGTTGTAAAATGCAACCTGAACTACATATACAGTCACTATATGCACGCTCGACCACATCTTGACCATACACGTGTCCTTTTTTGCAGATGATCGGACGGTCAAAAAGTAGTCGAACGTGCAAATAATTGTATATATGTAGTTCAGGTTGCATTTTACTAGAAAAAATACTTTAGGTTGAAAATCCCAAAAGCACGTATAGTACAAGTTGAAAAAAATTATTTTACCTTATTATTTTCTAAAACTTAAAATTGAGAAATTGAGAAAATCAAACACCCACCGCATGACTATCTTGCAAAACTCAAGCACTCACATTATATTATAGATATACTTATTACTAATCTGTGTTGATAATTGCTAATATCTACTGACAAAAATTGATTTATAAAATATAAGTCTTCATCAATAAATTCTTGATTTTCAAAATATAAAAAATTTGAAAAAATTTGTTTGCAACTCCAAATTACATGTTTGGTAATAATAATAACCATTACGAATTGAATGAAGTTCTATCATTCATGTGACAATGATGCTTGCTATTAAGGTTATTAGAGAAAAAAATTTCAATTGCAAGTTTATTATGCAACATTATTAACCATTTTGTATTTGTATGCAAAAAAAAAAAATAAAAAAAATACTAACAGGCGGCATCAATGTGAAATACAAAATACATGTGGATTAAAAGATACATTAAAATTTATGGATGTTTCTTCCTTATATTTTAACAAGAACTGCAAATTCATTTAAAAATATTTTGCTAACCCTCTACATCTTGCGTCTGTATTCGTAGGGATACCGAATTCAAGATACCATTAAAAAAGAGATATCAAGAAGAATTTTACGGAGGAAAAACATTATGCTATAAAAAATTACCACTTTGAGAAGTGGAAAGAGGATAACTATAAAACAATTGCAGCTATTTATTATTTTTTCTCCCGCGGGTGCACTTAGTGAACCGAAATTGAGGATGTGAAATTTCTTGATCACACTTATAGTTTTACTCCTCTTCTCGAAATTGATTCTCGAACAAATTTGTGACACTCTTCTCATTGGTTTGTATATTTAAATTTATCTTATTTTCTTTTACGAACTTTAATGTTATACTATGTGACACTTCTTTTGACTTTGTTTATGAAATTAAAATTTGATATTTAAATTATTTGGTTTGATATATCATTTTTTTATGCATACGTCATTGGAAGGTTGGCTATGCAGACGTCATTGGATGGTTGGCTAATGTTGGTCAGGTGCAAACCAAGCACATTCGTGGTTATTGAAGCATATTCTCATGTGCATTGCATGATTTTTATACTAGTAATAATTAATAAAAATATATCATAAGGTCGCGACAAACTCTGTTCACGGGTCCTCTCTCTTTCCCTGCGAAAAGCGATGCTTTGGGACGCAATTTAGAAAATTATGTATAAAAAACATTTATATGTTCGTGGTACATTATTTTATAAAAAATTGTTTGTTAAAGAGGAAAAAAAAATAGAATTAGTAATATTGCAAGCATTAAACATTAGGTGTGATGATGAAAATGTCCAAAATTTGTGTTCTATATTTAATTTTATAATGACTGTAACACTATTTATAAGGGCAAATAGCGAATTCAGTATACAGACTAAGGAGTAATTTCAAGGTCAATATCACACATTCATGTTATCTCAATTTCAGTACCCTAACAATGAAATTACCCGCAAATCTCATACCCGACCCGTTATTAAAAATAACAATTTTTTTTTTAAAAGAATATTTTATGCAACCTCATTTATAAATAATAATTAAATAAAAAATAAAATGCAGAAAACACATGATAGGCATATAACACTTGCTATGCCAAGCTCGATCGGCCCGACTTGGCCATCTCCTTAGTCTCACTTAACCAGGCATACTTTAGGTCTGTCGCGACGTAGACTACAAAACTATCACCATCCTAGTCGCATCCAGAACGGTCATACCTCTCCATCATCTCCTTCTTCGTGTCTACATCATAACGAGTTCACCTTTTCCCTGCCTCTTTCAAAGCCGCCATCTCCTTGAGCGACCCTCCAATGGCCGCCAATTCCACGCCCACGAAGACAAGCTTACCCTCTCCAGCAAACTGTTCTTCACCTGTAGTGCCATCGACATGTACTCCAAGACAGGCCTCCTAAGAAACGCCACCAAGATGTTTGAAAAAAATGTTCCAGACAAACTTTGCCATCTGGAATGCATGCATCACGAACGAGGTCCACAACGGGAACCCTCACAATATGGCCCGTAAATTTGTAAATATTTTTCTCCTCAACGGGAAGCCTCACGAAGTGGCCTGTAAGTTCACAAACTCTACCACTTGGAATGTGTGTTGTTGTTGGGTGTGTGTTTGCTTGCATGTGTGTGTTGGTGTTTAATATGCGTGTGTGCTACTTGTATGTATTGGTAATGTGTGTGCGCGCTCTGCTGTTTTTCTGGGTGTTACAGACTTAATGTTTATTATACAATAATCCTATGAGCTGAAGTATTTTATTCTTACAGAAGAACTAAAAATAGAAAATATGAATTACATCTTTAAGAAAAAAGGCTGTAGTAGAAACGAGAAGATCTTTCTCCACATGAAAAATATGCTTTGTATAGTCTTGATGAGTTTGTGCTTTATGTTCCCAAAGATACAATGACAGAACGTAACAGAAGTTATAGCACACCATAATTCAGAGCTTCGGCGAACTAGAATAGGGCAGAGAACTTAGCACACTTTCGATGTGATGTGTGAGGCTTTCAGAGAGTAAGATGCAAGTGATGTATGTCTTATGTATTTGGTGCAACCCAGAAACTCTTATTTATAGAGTTCCATTCTAGTGCAGGGAAAACCATGAGTCAACTACAACTTAAGGCTTTCAACAACCTACTAATTGTTGTTGTTTGTCCTATTTTTGTTGTGTTTTTCATTATTGTTTTGCCTTTCATTTTCCCCCATTTTATGTTCTTTGGTTTTGTCTGTTTTGTAGTTTGTTGATGAGTTTTTACCTTTATTATGGGGTTTTCTGCCTTTCCGTTTGTATTTCCCAGTTTTTTTCGTGTTCTTGTCATTTGCTGTGTGCCAGTCAAGAGCTTCGGGCGGACATGATTTCAAGGAGCTTCGGGCGGACATGATTTCAAGGATAAATTAGTTGTGTTAGCGTAATTAACTAGAAGAGAGTGTTGGGGTCGAGCACGAAGAAACAAAACTCAATTCCTAGCTTGGACGAGCTCGAACGAGCCCGAAACGCAAAGTCGTGCATAGCAGCCCGTGTCATCGCTCTCAGCTCTCCCGCGTGAGACCTGCAGTGTCTCCCCAACGCGCGCAGCAGACCGTCGCGCTGTGACTCGTGGGAGGTCTCGCAGTGTGTCACATCTCACACCTCTGTCGCTGTTGAAGCATATTGTAGAAGCTCGGCTTTGTGATTACTACCAATTCCATTTTGAATTAGATGTGTGTCTTTAGTCAGGTTGATGTTCCTAGTTTATTTATTTATGCAAACATAGTGTTGGGTTCTATTAGGAACGACAACAACATGCACGTTTGAATTTGGAAAATAAACCCTAACGCAGCAGAATCTATAATTAGGGTTAGGACATTACCGTTTAAAATTTTTGCCGACTCAGAGACGTTTCTGATTTCCTTTGATGGAGATAGTCTGATTACCAAAACTCGATGGGCTAACGGCTTTGCCTTTGTCAATTTTGATCGAGTCACTGAAACATGAACGGATCACCGGATCAAGCTCGTCGGGTTCGGGCCGGTCGAATCTGGTTTGGTTCGTCGGGTTGACTCGGTCGGACTCGGCTGAGCTGACTCGGGCTCGGCTCGGTTCAGCTGTTCACATCTCGGTCGGGTGCGGTTGGTGCGGTCACGAACAGGCGGCAGGTGGTGCAAGTCGCAATCACTGGCAGGGACGCGCGGACATGCGGTCGGACGCGGACAGCACGCGAGGACGTCGAGCGCGTGCATAGCGGGTCTCCTACGCCAACTCGGACAAGGCGCGGGCGTACAACATGGGTCTCCTAGTCGAGCGCGCATGTTTTGTCGCGCACTGGGAACGGGACGCGGAGATCTCGGGCGATCGGTAGTGCACGAGCAGGCGGACGGCGTGCGGGGCTTCGCGGGCAGCGTTGCTGCAAGCTTGCGTGTGGCTGGGCGCGAGTGACATCCGGCAGTAGTGGGCGGCGTCGGCGGTTTTCTGGCGACTCTCCGGAGGCGACTGATTGAAAATTAAAGGATCTAAAGGTCTTGATCTATCTAACCTTAAGATCTTCTAATGAATGATCTAAAGACCTACTTTGAAAAGTCTTGGTGGACAATTTTTTGGATCTCTTGAACTCTCAATATCTAGAACACTCGAAAACTTCTTCTTCCCTCAGGATACCTTGAATCTAGGATAGAATTCCTCCTAACCCTAATTACCTTCTAGAAGACTCCTTAGTCTCCTAACCCTAGGTAATATTATAAAAGGAATCTTATTAATTATAGAATAAATTTAATTCCTTAATCTAAATAGAATTAAATAATAAAACATTTCCACTACAGTAATATTATTGCTCTTCCCATTTAGCTCCAATTTATTCAATAAATCAAACATCCAAATGATTAATTAATATTAATATAATTGACCGATTTAGCTCCCAGGTTTAAGATATAACGTCCGTCGATTAATTTAATTACTGATGATAAAATTAATTCGACTATGTCATTTATGAAATTAGTACCACTCAGTTCATTAATCATTATGTCGGATAATTATCCACATGCAAGGTTTGACATAATATTCCTTCCTGAGCCCATTTCGAGGAACGTCATCAACCCAGCGGACTGGGACATAGTGACTGTAAATAGTTTATAATGGCACATCATATAAACACTCTTACTTACCAAAATAGCGAGTATGTCATCTTAACGGAATACGAATCACCCTTGCTAAATCAAATAAATAAGTAATGAATATATATGCTCATTTTATATTATCTTACTGCTTGAGAGTACGCATCAAGCACTAAAGGTCTAGATTATAACAACGATCACTAAATCTGATAATCCTATCCTTCCGCCGTCCCTTCAATACTTATCATAAGTACTCATACATCATTACATCCTTCCGCGGTCCGTTCAAATCTTATAATCTTATAATCCTTTCCCTCTCTCCCTCTCTCCCTCTCTCTCTCTCTCTCTCTCTCTCTCCCTCTCTCTCCCCTTACACATACATCATTACAATATATTATGTCGACTTCTAAATAAATTATGCTAAAGTTAAAAGTTTGTGTCATATATTATAACAAACAACTTTTAAAAAAATATTGTCATATATATATATTATTTTGAAGCTAAAATTTTATTATTATATTTTTACGCCAATATTGTTAATTACTAATAAAATAATGACCTTTTCGGTTTTTGCAATTATATGCACCATTTTTAAACTTGACAAATATATACACCACTTTGACTTTTGTTGGCAATTCGTATCACAGGGCCCAATTTCCGGCCTTGTCTGCTAACATGGCGATAAAAAAATAAAACATTGTTGGGATTCAAACTTGTGACCTCGAGGTTGCATATTGGCATTGTAACTCCTAAATCAATACAAGTTGTATGCTAAATTTAATAGCTTTTAATATACATATAGACACTACGTATGCACAAATCAAATCAAATTTAGAAGATAATGTAGATTATATTAAATTATGTTAATAAGATATAAACTATAATAATTAAAATATAATAAATTAAAATAAAGTAAGATATAAACTTATTTATTACCATAATCTGAAATAATTTTTTTTATTTTATTATATTCTTTTATTAAACTGTTTGAGATTATTATAATAAACAATTTATTATTATAATAACAAAATCATTAAATTATTAATTTATATATTAATATTAATCTAATTGACCGATTTAGCTCTCAGATTTAAGATTTAACGTCCGTCAATTAATTTAATTACTGATGATAAAACTAATTCGACTTCTTCATTTATGAAATTAGTACAACTCGGTTCATTAATCATTATGTCGAATAATTATCCACCTGCAGGGTTTGACATAATATTCCTTCCTGAGCTCATTTCGAGGAACGTCATCAACCCAGCGCACTGGGACATAGTGACTGTAAATAATTTATAACGGCACATCATATAAATACTCGTACTTACCAAAATAATGAGTATGTCAACCTAATGGAATAGAAATCACCTTTGGTAAATCAAATAAATAAGTATATATATGCTCATTTTATATTATCTTACAGCTTGAGAGTACGCATCAAGCACTGAAGGTCTAGATTATAACAACGATCAGTAAATCTTATAATCTTATCCTTCCGCGATAAGGTAGGCTTTCTATCTGCTGGACGAGGTGACAAAGTTGGCTCGACTAAAATCCGAGGAAAGGTGTAATTGACCTCTACCGGTAGCTCATTGGGAAGGTGATAGATGTTTCAGTCCCTGGTGCTGGTAGTCCCAATGGTAATCTGCTCAAAACTCAAGTGGAATTTAGACTGAAGGATGCCCTACCTCGAGGGACCAATCTAAAGCTGGGAGATGAAACCCGTTGGGTGGAGTTCAGGTATGAAAACCTCCAACTTTTTTGCTTCTACTGTGGTAAAATTGGACACATTGACAAAAATTGCAAATTGAAAAAATAGGATCTTTCTAGAAATATTCTTAACATTGGGCAGTATTTAGAATCTCGGTCTTTATATTTGTTCCCTTAAAGAAAATATCGAACGCTAAAATATTCTTTAAATTGCATAATCAATCAATTAATCTTAATGTTTTGAAAATTACTATGTTTATTTTTTTAATAAGATAAAGTAAGACTAATTAATTCGTCTTTAGATGTATAATTTATAATCTTAATATACTATCATTTGGTATAGACACTTATTATATGAATCATAAAATATTTTTATTTCATAAACTTAAATATATTTAAAGAAAATAAGAAAATTTCTTTGGATCAATCAGGTGATTGAATTAGGGTACTACCCAGGTTGATTGAATTAGTTTTATGTGATATTTAAAATAGTCAAAAAACTTGACACAACTTGGTTGGTCCTAGGTGACTAAGTTATGTATCAATTCGACTACACCAAATCGATTATTGAACATAAATATATATTTTATATTGAAAATATTTTATTACGTGAATGTGATGTAGTGCAAACTTCAAATAATCATATTAAAAATACTTTTACGACCACATGTTTAATGATTTATGAATATTTATATATCATTTTATTAATATTTATGTGAATTAAATAATATTTTATTATAATATTTATTAATGTACAGTAAATATAAGGTTTTCAGAACTGGATCGTCATCGAAACGATCAAGCTATTTTATTAAATCATTTGTGGTTTGTTCAGATTTTAATTAATAAATATTTTAATAGATATATATATATATATATAGTAATTTTTGTAATATATTTAAATAATATGTGTTACTTAGATATATAAATAATTTATAAATTCAAATGTTTAAACTAATTAATAAATAATTTATAAATCTCTATTTTATTTAAATATGTAATTTCATTTAAAATAATTTTAAATAGAAAATAATTTATTTAAAATATTGTATCGATCCTACCAGTCCAACCGACTGGTGTTGACAGATTCCAGAGCAAATATTTTATTCAAGCGAACTAGACTGATTATAAACGTCCATTCGGTCGGATTGTGTCTAACCCAGTTTAATTTAAAAACAATGGATACATCATGATTAATGTTATTTATATATTTAATTTATAATACAATCGTAATATTGTTTTCCCGTGCATCGCACGGGCCGCGCACTAGTATGTACAAAATATCCAAAAGATCACTTATTTGGTTAATAGTTGATAAAGCCAAAATAACATTTAAAAATAATAGGAGGTAGTATATCTTTTCAAGCCTTTGTTATTTAGGTTGATTTTTTGGAAATATGAAAAGAAAAAAAGAACAGTTTGAGGATATGTGGAGGAAAGCAAATTCATGAAGAATAATGGTGTGAGAATATTGTGGTTGATATTTAGGTGATCGAAATGTTTTATTCGTATATTTGTATTTAATTAATTAAATATTAATTATTAATTAAAAATATAAGATATGATGTGTATTAGTGTACTGCTAATTTGCCATTAAAAATATGTGAAAGTAAAAAAAAATTTAAGCAGTTCATTAAAGATATAAGATATGATGAGTATTAGTGTATTACTANAAAAACACTCGTTCTTTTAGAGTGGTATAGATATAGATATAGATATTTCATCATTTAAAGGAATTTAAAGCAAGGAAGATAAAAAGATTGTATGTTTGTAAATTTTCCTCAATCAACCCATTTTAACTAGTAAACATACATAATTACTACAAGAAAATGATAAACTTCCAACGAAAAACTCCAATGAAAATATATTGTAATAGATATTTCAATACTCTTATTTCCGTTACCATTTTCCAACGGATTCCAATGAAAAATTTTAATAAAAATATTCCATTTGAATGTATTTTCCGCTAGAATATTTGGACTTTGACGTTAAAATATGGGTGGAAACAAGAAATCCAATAGGAATCCTAAGTAAAAACCATTAGAATCATTAAATTCCATTTAAAATTCCAAAAGAATACTCATTCTAACGGTATATTTTCATTGGAATCATTCCAACTGAAGCTAAATCATTAGAATATTTGTTGAAATTTTAATTGAAATATATTAACATAGAATTTCTCATTGAAATATGACAATTTATTTGTAGTGCATATATGAATAAAATGGATGCCTATAACTCTTGATATCTCAACAAGAATGATCATGAAGACTAGAGGAACTTATACTATAGTTTCGAATTTAAGCTCATTGTATTTTGGCCATATAAAAACATTCATAGAATCCGCAGTCAAAAAATTTGCCTTAATATAATAAATGGTTTCCTTTTTTCACCTTTCATATCGTTGGAAAATTGTAAGAACTTCTACAGTAGCATGTCGAGTGGCAGAGTGCACAACTCATATCAATTAAGATGACTTTCTCGATCTTGTATTCAATACAAATTGCCGATAGTCTTCTGCAAAACAACCGTGTTCGAGATATATATCTAATCTATGCGGCAACTACTTTCTTTTCAGTTCTTAATGATTCGAAAACTATCACCAACTTCCTTTGTATCTGCATTCACAAACTGCAATGAAAGATGCATTTGTCAAAAACATGTAAAATACTATTAAGCATATATATACTATATAGCTGATCACTTTTAAATCCAATTCAGATGTATGGTCTACTTTATTTGGTGGTGATTCGAATCTGTTTGTGCGCACGAGCATCACTTTCTAAACAAAAACTAAGACTTATAGCTAACGGTTTTTTTCTATATACTTACCTCAACTTTAAGTTCATTCCTAGTAGCATGCGCTCTAATGTACCCGAACTGGGCAATCCTAGACAAGCTCCAGTTATAATTCCTCTGCACACAAAAAGAAAGAATATAATAACGAAATTTGAAGGCCTCAAGATTTCAACTTAACCAATGCATTTATAAGTTTGGAGTAAATTAAGGCATACATACATCTGTTGGAAATTCATCGAGCGTAAATCCGGCCATCCCAATAATGGCATGAACCGGTGCTGAATAGTTAGTATTATCATACGTGTCAATCCCATTCCCTTCTTTTGTCGGCATTGATAGGCACATTTTTTGATAAATCGCACAAGTTCTCTCATAGTTGTGTACGTGCCCAAACAGAGCCAGATCCACCTAGTTAATTAGTTCACATTGCAAAAGAAAATCCCGATCAAACTCGCGAGAAATTAATTAGAGATGATTTTTAACTTTTGGTGAATTATAATTAAAAAGAAATTAATCTCAGCTCGATTTTACCTTATTCTGTAGTAGCAATGGCTCAACAGCGTCAATGAACTTGTGGTCGACATTGTGCAATCCGGTGTATCTTTCATTGGTGGTGTACATTGGTCTATGCCTATATTCCATCCACAAACATGCCTAAATACTTTAATTTACTAACTTTTTTTTTTCAATATTTGGTTTTGAAATGAAAATTATGGGTCGAAAAGAAGGATTCGAAACATTTCAAGAATACCCTGTGAATATTATCCAAGGTGTTTTTGTTCGAATAAAAAAAAAAAAAGAAAGAAAGAAAGAAAGATAAAGTTTCAAATATTTGTTAGAAGAAGCTCGAACTAGGCCCAGATATTCGACAAACTGTTGTGATTTGTGAATTATTAAGACTATAATACCTGTTCTGAGTTTACAGACCAATTATGTTCAGTTGAGATAACCATAAAATGCACAGGCCCTTGTTCAATAGCGTACCACGGCCTGTCCTTTCCGGGAGTTGGCATCGGAAAATAAGTCTCATAAGGAACTCCGCATTCACCTCCCGAGTCCGTAGTTTTGTAGAGCGATGCAGAGTCCATATAATTCCTGCAAGTTATCGTGGGTACTAGCTCATAAGCTAGCTAGCTGATAGCTGATAATCTAGTTTATAGTTTATAAGTGATTTTGGAGCTTATATTATATGATAAAAATGTTTGATAAAATTAGCTGATAAGCTAGTTGAAATAAAATTTTCAATGGGCTAATTTGAAAAGCTACCCAAAAAGCTTATGAGATAAACTCGATTTTTTCAAAAAAGCTCGTTCTAGCAAACGAAGCTTATTTAAATACAGGAAACATATAAACTAATCAAATAAGTTATAAACTAGTTTATTTTGTCGCCTGAACACATCATTTTAGATAGATACCTCTCGTGATTTCCTATTGAGGTCATGTAAGGAACTCGGGAGGCGAGTGTGGATATGAGGCTCAAAAAGTAGTCCCACTCTACAAGAAATCCCGTGGCATAACTTATGTCACCGATGTGGAAAATCGAGTCGACAAGGCCAGATGACACGTCATCAGCCATAGCTTTGACGACACTAACTGATCCCGGCTGCATGTTTCGAGCATGGAAATTAGTTGCATTGTGGTCCTGTTAGAATGTTGTACTTGCACTTTTGGTATGATTAATTATTGCATATGATATGCTGATCTTGTTTGAGTACCTGCATGAAGTGTTCTATTGAGGCGTCAAGTGGAGCCTTGCCCATGTCACCATATGCAATAAACTTGAGCTCATTGGCTCCGGCAAAAGGCGGTGTTTTGAATGTAATATTCTCACTCCATCCAACCAAATCACTGAAAATATATAAAAGAGGGAGAATAAAAAGATATATATTTTCAATTTAAAGAGTATAGTACTATTTTTAATGATGTTATAGGTAATATTGTTAATTAATTACCTTCCATATACATAGGAGTAAGAAGTGGAAGGACTTAGTCCTGTCATGGTTGCTGTATGGATGTAGCCAGGGTTGTGCCACCCGAAATCAAAGGCCGGACTTTTAATATACTCACCTGAATATAATAATTAATTCGGGCTATTTATTAGATTTTTAATGCTTAAAATTATTCACATTGTTGCTTTCACTATGATTGCGATAGAATCCAACAAGGAGTAAAAGCTCGACTCAAGCTTGAGGTTGACCAATCTTGAGTCGAGCTCTCGATGCTGCCGAGGGCACCCGTGATGAGGATCATATCCCTCTCTCTCGACGTGCTCCCCCTTCTTCGAGAGTAAGGCTAAGGTATCTTCTTCTACTAAGCCCAAATCTTCTGCTAAGTCATCGGCAACTCCTGCTCCACCAAAAGCCCAATCCGATCGCATTACTGCCTCTCCTAAGCCAGCCCAAAAGAAAAAAATTAGCCAAAGCCTCCTCTTCTAGACAGACTTCTTCCCGCGCCCTCATAGCCGTCTGGCTGAATGCTGATGAGGTCAGCCATCCAGCTGCCTGGGCCTTTGTATCACCTGGTCCCTGAGATACTTATGATAATCCTCCCAAAAATTGCTATACCTTCTTCGAAATACAATTTAAACTCGGTGTCCGCCTTCCTTTGTGTCAAGATTTGCTCGACATTTGCAGTTGGTTTGATCTTCCACTGAATCAGCTCCCTCCTAATGCCATCCGATTTATAACCGTCTTCATTATCCTCTGCCATATCCGTCTGGGTCGGCTCGACCTAGCCTTTTTCCTTTACTGCTACACGCCCTCGAAACATCCTCAAGGGCTTTACCTTAAAAGCCGCAATGACGTCCACTTCATCTCCGACACCTCTTCCAATGTTCCCAAGTGGAAGCATCGATTTGCTTTTGTCGAGCCTAAACCTGCTTTTCCCTGGGCCCCGACTCCGTGGCTTAAGGAGCTCAACCGTGAGCATGCGCCGCCCCCTCAGAACGTCCTCTTCGACCAACGGATTGTTGTATGGAACCGTAAGCCCGTTGCGTCCAAAACTCTGCTCGAGGATGATAACCTCTTGCACTTTTGTGGTCTTTTTACCCAAAAATCTTTTTCTCCTCCCACTCAAGAAACCTTCGACCTCATCCGAGTTGAAGGCGACCTAGGTATTTATTGCTAAATGCGCTCGAGTATCGTGTCTTTGTTTTGTATGTGATTATCTGTTATGGTTCTAACTTGTTTATGATTTTTTTGCAGAGATGACTGCTATCCCCTTGCCAAAGAGGAAATCCCTCTGAAGAAAAAGACAGTTGAAGGGTCGAGCTCAAAGCCTGCTGAATTCAGGCATCCCGAATTGGAATTCGAATTCAAATAGAGCTCGAACTTGTAATTCGAATTCAAATAGAGCTCGAACATAATTTGATTTTTAATTTTATACATTTCATGTGTAACCATATAAAAAAAAAATATGCATCATTAATATAATAATCTATACTTATATTAAAAGGTATACCATTTACCAGATTTAGTATAAAGAAAAGTCAACAACATTTATTGCATTACTATTTCCGTATTATACAATCTATACTTATATAAAAGGAGATTCTATTTACTACATTTACTATCCAGAAAAGTCAACTGCATTAAATGTCATTACTATTTTGGTACTATAATATTTTATTTATTTAATTGATTTATTTATTTGTTTTATTTTAAAAAGGTAAGTATAATAAAAAGATTTTAATAATAAAAAAATTAAATACAAAATAAAAATGTACACTTTGACTTATTTGATTATATTTGGTATTTGATTATACCAAATATATTTCTATTTAGTATATACATTAAATACTTACTAAAGTATTTATTTGTTTTATTTGTCAAAATTAAGTATAGATTTGTTTATATTATCAAATCATAAAAAAATATTAAATCTATATTGTAAAAAAAAATCATATAATTTTATAACAATTCTACTACACTATTTAACAATATTTTCTTTTTATTATATAATAAAATAATAATTAAATATTATATGGTGAACAACAATAAGTAAAACTGTTACTTTCTCTTATATCAAGGGATAAATTTATATGCTAAAATTAAATTTTTATTAGTATAAATGTTTTAGTGAGATAATATATTAATTATTTTACAAGCTAGCCCTAACATGCTCATATTTAATGTTTTAAAAGATGTAGAAAAAAACTTATAATAACTCTATTGTTTTTTAGACTTAAACGTTGATTAAAAGAGGTAAAAATTTCTAATTTTTTAGACTTAAACGTTGATTAACACCATAGATTGAGAGTTTATATTTAGTAAAATTCCTAATTGTAATAAAAAAATTAATTTTTGCTATATTTTAGAATATCTTTAAATTCATTATAAAAAAAAAAAAGAAAAAAAACTACAATGAAAAAAGCAAGTCAGCTATATATCGATTTGTTGTACTCCTCAAATCACATTCACAATTTGGCTACAAGGAAAGGAAATTCATTGATTAAAATATTATTTTGTCAGTAGTCTTAATGTACAAGAGACTTTAAGACTCCACTTGAATATTATAAACTTTTATTGAACATTGTACAATTTTTTGGCGTATTATAAACTTTTATTGAATATTGAATCTTATAATATAATATTCTCCAAATAAATATATCTCGTGTTTCGCACGGGTCACGTATGATATATATCCCGTACATTTTTCTTTATTCATGTATATAATTATAAGCCTGAATAAATAGCCTTAAAATTGTTTCTTTATTCATATATATAATTATATGCCTGAATAAATAGCCTTAAAATTGTGCACCCCGTGCATCGCACGGGCTCTGTACTAGTTATAAGTATATAATATTTTTTATAATCTTTGTGCAATCCATGTGTATAGTTTCTGACGTAGCACAACGAGAACTTCAAAGAGAACAAGATCTCCAAATTATTTGTGTTTATTCCAATCTCCTCTTTTTGGAGGACTGAGAAGAGAAATATATCCTAATAGAGTCCTAATAGTACTTGCTCTCCTATCTTGCATACCAAGAAATAAATATACTAGCTAATAAATATAATATTGTCAACTAAATAATAAAACATAAGGGAAATAATAAAAGGATGAAATAATAAATGAACTAGAGCCGATCGTATTTGTGCAAATATGCGAGAGCGATCTCGTCTCCATCAGTTTCTTATGGTGATATGAGCAAGAAACTTGAGCTTATCAAATCCTGTAATATATGTACATAGTTTCTTATGATATTGATGAAATGTATTGATGTGATCAAATATCAATGGAAGTACTGTTGTTGGTACTTTATTTTTATTTTCCTTTAACTCTCTATTTATGTGGGTTAAGGACCCGTCTCAACTTAAAAACATTTTACTTTATTCCAAGCATTGACTGAATTATGTGAAATAAATAATTAATAATGTGAATTCTAATATAAACCCTCATTCAGTATAATTGTTGCATATGTAACACATTTCCGCTATTTATTATTTCAGACAAAAAGTTACTTGTAGTGTTTATTTTAATTAATTTGATCATCTATAGATTATAAAATAACATGTAATACATACATACCTTTGCACATGTCATCCCGTGAGAAAGTAGAAACATTGGATAGGGCTGTGGCTGTACTGTATCCATTTCCATAACGGACTTGTTGAGACTTGTTATCTCCACTCACCCAAGTTATGCTCATCTGCCATTTTTAATTTCAAATCTATATATCTCTCTATATAAACAGAATAAGAATTTACTAAAATAGTAACAAAAAAATTCCGATAACATTTAATATGGACCTTATTTGAAAACTTTTTAAATATATGCATTAATTGTTTGCATGCATATACACGTTTCCAAATCAAATCAAATCTAACTAGTGTGTACCCCGTGCGATGCACGAAAACAATACTAAATTAACAATATTATAAATAGACATCGAGTTTAAGTCACTCAATGGCGAAAGTGGAAACTACTATTGATCATATTTAAAAAGAGTAAGAAAGAAAATAATCATAAATTAAAGAGGAGGGTAAACAATACTTAAAAATTACAAATTAAAGATTCGGGGTCAAACAATGTAAAATTATTTTGTATAAGGGAATATAAAAAAATTTGATTACACACCATTTCAAAATTATTATTATACTTTTTTGTATGGTTAGCTTATAATATTTGTAAAAATATTAATAATTAGACCGATGAAAATTAGCTTCTTAAAGTAGATAATGGATTTCTAGTAGTAATTATGAATTGGTTTCTATTTTATTTTATTTTTTCTTTTTAAAGATAATGGATTTCTAGTAGTAATTATGAATTGGTTTCTATTTTATTTTATTTTTTCAAATCTGTATAGATAAGGGATGATATTTTTTAAACACGTGAGACGTATGCAATGGGATTTTGTAACAAAAGAAATAAACAATGGGATTTTGTAACTCGTGTAAATTTCTACTAAAAATAGGAAAAAGAAAAATAAATATTTATTGTCAAACAACGGTTTTGATAAACTAAAAAAAGGGAAAAAGAGAAACAAATCTTGACACAATTAATGAGCCGATTTTTTTGTCTATTCAGATTTGTCCAACAATTACTATATATAGAATATATTTAATGATTTTGGCGGGAAAAAAATTCTAAATTTGTAAAAAATTTATTCTTTTTATATAATGATAGATTCTTTCGTTCAATAATTTTATTAACATATGCAATAATTTCATTATCCATTATAATAAACTAGAAAATTGGTTTTCCGTGATTCAGATTGATAATATTTTGGTCAATGTAAACATGAAAACATATTTTAAGTTCTAACCATATTATTAATTGTTTTTCACAAATATTCATATTTCATCCTAAAATATTTATCGAAAATCGTAACAAGTTATGTAATTTATTTTCTTCCAATTAATTAGGCAAAATCAAGTTGGTGAAGTAATTGTTGTGAATATAATTTTTTCTTAAAGTTTATTTCAATATATATAAAAAAAAATTATTCTCCAGATTACTATAATTTAGCGTTTAAGAGATAAGGACCAAATACATTTAGTTTTACTAATGTCTACATAATAAAATTGAAATATATTAACTATTTTCTAGAATTAAACATGAGATTTATTTCCACATTATTATCAGCCAAGATTATTTAATTTTCTCATTATTTTTTTTATTTTGATTTATTTCCATAATGAAATTCTCATAAAAGATATTTTCATTATAGTATGCTAAATAAACTATAAAGCCTTAGGATGAAAAGCTAGAAAAATCTCTTGATTATAGAAGTGATTTAGTTTTTGGCAATTGTTAAACCAAAGTTGCTTAATTATTATAAAATATTAAATTATGAAAAACATGGATGTACATTTTGTAGAATAATTATATACAATATTTTATTTTAATTTTTTTTACATAATTTAAATTAATTACATTAATAAATAATATTAAAATCTATTCATTAAATATTTTTCATTACATAAAAATAAAAAGAAGACGGCTACTTCTATACGACAATAAATTTAATAATACATAATAATCAAGTATTATATGATGAATAAGAGAACAAGTAAAATTGTTATTTTTTCTTATCTCAAGGAAAAATGTATATGCCAAAATTTAATTTATATTAGTATAAACGTAAGGATAATATATGAATTAATTTACAAGCTAGTGCTAATAGAACCATGTTTAATGCTCTGACTAAAAAACAACATTGATTAAAAAAAATGAAAAATAAATGATGTTTTTTAGGCATAAACGGACAAACTCTATGGAACATGACTTATTTAACATTCTTGTCCTATGCATCGTACGGCTACTTGCTAATTAACCATTTAATCAATTAAAATGTATATATGTTGATTTCAACAATTCGCTCTCACCCAAATCGCCCTTGTCGTAACCCTAGCTTCCGTCGCCGGCATCTAACGCCTCTCTCGGCGTCCATCCGGGTTGCCGGTGGACTGCTCATCGTCGCGCTACCACGCCGTCATCAGCGGCACTTCCTCCTTTCTCTCTGGCCGCGGGGTGAGGATGGCGATTCTCGGCAGATCTCGTCGATCTGTGTCTGAAAACCGCTGGAGCTCTAGGGTGGAGAGGCTAGGAGGAGTGTGGCCAGTGGTTGGTAGCGGCTCGTTGTCTGCGTCGCTCATGTTCAGGTTTCCCCTTCTCCAGTCATTGTCGACGGGCTCGGCTTCGGGGGTCGGTGGAATTGCAGGTTTTCACTCTGACTCTCGCTCTCTGTTCGCCGACGGTTTGGTGTGGCAGCGGGTGGGCTATGGTCCGTCACTGGGGGCTGGGTGGGGAGGTCGGGTTCGAGCTTTGGTCGGAGCGGTTCTTCTTTCCGGGCTGGAACGTCTTCCCGATTGCGGGTCTTCGGTTTTAGCTGGAGCCGGGTCATTGGTATCTCGGCTTTGCTGGGGTGTTGGGTCGGGTTTCATCCTTGCGGGCTGGGTGGATGGGTGGTTGCTTCGGGCTAGGTTTCGTCCTTCTGGCGGAGTCGGCGCGGCTGAGCTCTGATATCTTTCGTCCCCTTCCTCCTCTTTCTCGGTTTCTGAGTTTGTGGGAGGTCGTCTGTCTCCAAATTTGGCTAGTGGTGTTAGGCAAATTTGGGATGGTTTCGGATTGGCTAGTGGTACTAGCCGGTTGGGGGGCGATTGTGATTTCTTGTGGTCAGTCTGCGGGTCGGTTTTTTGGTTTGTCCTGAGGTTTGGATCTTCGCCTTGCTAGGCCTTCTGCAGTGGCTGGCGTAGTATCGGAGCTTCGGAGTTCTCCTCGGATCTGGCTATGTTTGCTGTCTTTTCCGGATGTTCTTGCTGAGGGAGGCTGCGTGTTCTTATGTTTTTTTAGTTTGTGTTAGTTGTTTTGTGTTGTTTGTTCTTTTGCCTCTGTGTGCCCGAGTATCAACTTGATTTCCATGTGGGGGCCAGACACTCGGGTATTACCCTGTTGGGGTCTCTGTGTTATTTTTTAGTGTTTTAGTATTTTGTAGTGTTTTTTAGTTTTACCCCGTTGGGGTCGGTTCTAGGCGGTCTTTTGACCTGTCCTTCTACTTTTTCAGCTATTGGATGCGTGTATTCAGCTGTTGGCTGTCTTATTCAGCTAGTGGCTTCTCTTTATATTTTGTTCGTTTTATATAATATCATTCTGGCCAAAAAAACAATTCAATCATCCTTAATTATGTAGAAGAGTTAACTGTATAAATCCTTTTTATCTCGTTAAATAAATAATTCCTTTTGTATCTTTCATTTATATTATTTAATCCTGCAGGCAACACAACTTTGAGCCCAAAACTTCACAATCTCATCAATGAACAATAATAATTAGATCATGAATTTAGGCTGAAGTGACTATGTTCACTAAAGTATTTAACTTGTTTTATTTTCAAATTTATTTAGGCTCGTTTCATGATTGTGTCCTGCACTTTCCACCCCTTCTCTGAACATTTCAAAAAACACAAATTCCAAAAATATACTAACTTGCCCTCTCATATAATTTTTCGTATGACCAAAATCTTATCCTTAAATATTAATGCCTTCATTATAGTTGAACTCATGAAAACCCTTTTCGAAATTTGTCATTATCCCCTCAAAGCCGTCTCATAAATTACATAATCGATCATCATGCCGGCCGGCGGCGCCTGACATCCAATTATTGTCAAACATTATGAGATTTTATAATTAGGCCATAACTTCCTAAAAAACATGCATATCACTTCGTCATTATGCCTATCTATAAGGAAAAAGGTATCTCTTATCATTTTTATAGTTTTTTTCCTCATGTTATTTCCTAGCATAGTAAGATTCTTATTAGACAGACTTAGCAGTAAACAACAACAATTTAATACATATGCACAGTTTTAAATTTAAATATCAATACTCTAAAAAAATATAAACAAATGTATAACATTTCGTATTATAAATATGCATAGCGAATGAACCTGCNAAAAAAAAAAAAACAAAAAAAAAATCGTGTTCCTAGTATGAGAAGAATTAACTATATATCATGTCTCAATTTTATAGGAAATAGAGAGAGAAATTTGTGTTTCAAGTATGAGTAGAATCAATTATCATGTCTCAATTTTATGGGGGAAAAAGAGAGAGAAAGAGAGGGCTGTTTTCTTATACATATTAAAAACTTATTATTTTAAGAAAAGGTATTTCTGCAAAACGAAGAAAATCAATTTAAAAAAAAAAAGTTTGTTGAACACATCAATTCAATAATAATAATAATAATAATAATAATAATAATAGGTCAAGTTAAGAAGAAATTCATTGACAAATTCTGCCAAAATCATTTTGAGTAAATAATAAAATTTTACCACGGCACGTCCAGTAAAAATGAAAAAGAAAAAGGAAAATTTACACCCGAAGACCGTAAATATTACTTAGTCAACAATCAAGCATATATCAGCAAAGACGAGCATATATACGCACCTTAGTTCCCGTCGAATCAGGCGACGACAGGTGTCCGTATAAGGGACTGTTTGGGTTGGCAAAGCTCAGAGGATCAGATCTTTTCAAAATGCAAGGCGTGTCAAACCCGCCGCCAAACAGCACAAATTCAATGTCTGTTCGTATGTTGACGACGTGAAACCTTAACGTCGCCGAACATGTCCTTACCAAGCATTTTCCCGCCAACTGCTTCTTGCATTCTTTGTTGGTGCAATTCAGGTAATATGGATCACTTGTCAAGTTCTGAGCCTGTCCAAGTTGTGTCAAGAAGTTTTCTGATAATTTCATCTTTGACCAAGAAAATATACTATTTTTCGTGAAAAAAAAAATTAATAGAAAAAACTGATATATGTTTTTAATTTCCCTCCAATTAGAATATCAATTTACTCTATAAAAGAAAATTATATGTAAAGACACCATATATATGGATCGTTTTTGTCATACTATATTTTGATCATAATAGAATGGCATAAAGGATGACATAAATTTTGATATAATAACGCATCATTACACGTAAATAATGAAATTTCAATGGAAAATTCAAATGGAGTTCCAAAGTCAATTCAAATCGATCTTCATTTGAAATTTTTCAATGAAAAGTTCAACAAAAAAATATTTCGTTGGAATTAATGTTTCATTGGAATTTTCATTGAATATTGACGTTTCCAATAGTAGATTTTCCAACGGTTGAAAGATGGCCCAAAATAAAAATTCAAACGGAAAAGAACAATAAACCATTGAAATAATGGCTATTGGATCCAACGAAATATTTTAGTGTTGATTTCTATTAGAATAACCCTTGGCTAATTCCAACCGAAACTATGCCATTGGATTCATATGTTGAAATTTTCATTAGAATATTTCACAGTTGGAATATGATAGTTTTCTTCGTAGTGCGTGTCATGATCTTATTATATATTTTAAACATCACACCATCTTTAAAGTCAACAACCATTATATATCCACCTCATTTCCGCCATACATTTCACTATATTATGTTAAAATAGCATAATTCTTGCAGTGCAATTATACCGTCTTGTACGCACACTTTCTTTGAACTTAAAATCGGAACATAATAAATGATGGAAATATGTCTACAAAAGAAGCCTGTAGCATTCAATCATGGGGCTATGCAAGTACGCGTATTCAAGGTTCGACATTTTCCCTTTTATTATTTTTTTTTTTTTTTTATNCTATCATCTATGCAATGAAATTCAACATGAGATTGGAGGCAATGATCACGTTTATCTTTTAAAGGGACTCAAGTCAAGGCCCCATAGCATGAAAAAATACAATTGCATCATAATTGACATTTGAAGACAAATTTTGTGTTTTAAGTCTCTTTTATATCCAATTTCAATTAGAAAACAGCTGCTACTCACTCCTTCAATATTCTTTTTGACTCACACATTAGTTATAAATGCAAAACTTTTGTTTTCTTTAAAGGAAATACTTATTTACACTATGTTAGAGACTGAATAAAGTGCATGCGAAAGGCAGTATGTAATAATTATACAACAATTGTATGAATGACAATATTGTCTGATGAATGACAATAGTGTGTGAAAGTTAAAAATGCGAAAGCATTCGCATAACCTTAGCACTAGAAATTGATCGAAGCAAGACATGATGTAAAATTCACACACATTACGAAATCTTGACATTTACTGTTGAACACGTTTTAATATGCCCATAATAAGTGTGGACATTTCCCGTTACACACATATATGATGATGTAAATTCACACACAGTCACACTAGAAGTTACCTTAACAGGATAGTGGCAGAGGAGAGGAAGATGGCTAGAATCTCCTGTTTCTTCGTACTTAAGTTTATTCTCCACACATGTTTTCACACTGTAATTTACCTCCAAAGAAAAGAAAAAAGGAAACGAAAAAAAAGATCGTGTTAATCAAGTACGTAATTCTCATTTTTTCTATCGGACACACACACACCCCAAAAAAAAAAGTTATGTAATTCCAATCCTACTAAAGTATTCACACTTGGAATTAATTATAAAAAAAAACAATTAATTTAAGTAGAAACAAGACATACTCGGAATCAGATGGGGAAATCATGGCCATCCAATCGTGTTCCGACGGAAAAACAACTCCCGTGACGTTGACCTCCACGAACCCTTGGTCGGGAAGTCTCTGGTCGGAGCTGACGTGGATCTCGAGATACGGGTTCGGGTCGGGGCATCCGACCAGCCGCCTCCGGTTGATGACCCGGAACGCGGCCACGGTGCCGGGAAGGGATGACGTGTCGACAGTGGTTAGGGTGAAGAGGAGTGATAGGGCGGTTGTGAATATTATTTGATTGTGTCTCTTCATCTCACTCAATTGGTGCGTATGAGTAATAATTATGAGATGGTTAAGGAAAGTGGAAAAAGGAAACACAAATAAAAATTGTTCTCGGGTTTTCGAAAAGGATTTTGAGAGGTAAAAAAATAGTGATGTGTGGGGTAGGGATTGGAGAGTTTTATTACGTGAAAATGGGTTTACTTTATCTTCTATTTCGCTTTTTGCCTTATTAGTTCGGTGCTTGAGTCTTCTAATTAATTATCATTAATTTCGGCATGATATATCTTTTGAGCAAATATGACGTATAGCATAATAACAATTTTTAAATTTCAGGCCGTTAAATTTTTGTGAACTTTCTTTAAAAATCCTCAATCCCTTATTAAACTTCTAAGTCAGTCCCTCCTCATAATTTCTATCTATTTTACTCCCTACCTCTATATTCATCTTCTATTTAAATTCCTCCTATTAAAATAAATGACAAAAAAATTAATTTGTGACATCATCCCCACTTACACATTATTTTACTATTTTTCTTTACCTAAAAATCTGATTTTATGTTCCTTCTTCCCCACTTATCTCCTCCCGTTTTTCTCCTTTTTTTTCTTCATCTTCTCGCCGTCGGCCCTTTTTTTTTTTTTTTTTCTTGTTTTCTTTTGCAGCTTCATCTCGCCGGCGACACGAAATTCGGCAAGAAGAACACCGGAGGCAACAATTCCGGCGACATCGAGGCTTTTTCCGGCCAAAAGTCTAGTTCTCTGTCCGAAAATTCCTTTTTTTTTCCGGCAACATTGTGGCTTTTTTCGGCGAAAACTTGAAGTAATAAGTAATGTATGTATTATATGAGAACTCTGGAGTCCAAAAATCATCTTTAATTCATATATTTTTGTTTGATTTGTGAAGGATTGAATTTTGAATATTGTTGTTTATATTTACCCTAAAACAAATAAATTGATCATAATCCTTTTTTTTTTTGTTCATGTGTACTAAATTGATGCTATTGTTAGGTTATGTTAGGTGTTATTGACACAGGATTCTCCCTAACATATTCCAATTCTCATTAATATGTCCATTAGTGGCCCTGGACATAGCCTGGTTCTGTGAGAGGGTCTAAGAATTGAGCTTCACACAATTCTCTTCGAAGCGGCGCCACTTCTCTCTCACATAGGTGATTCTTAATTAAAAGTAGTCTGCACTACTTGCACATACAAGAATCATTAAAAACCAAATGCTTATCCTAGTCACCACGAATATCGTTGTTTAAGGAATGGACAAGGAATACTATCCCATAGTGATCACAAGAGCCTTTTTTCAATTTGGTTGTCTCTTTGAACCAAGATCTTGGGATCTCCTGTCAACAAGGTAGGGTTTTCATTGTATCAACTCATTTCTAGAGGCTTAAGTTCCATTCCTTTTAAGGATTTAGCAACCAACTCTCTGTTTAACCATTTGGTTAGCGGATCCGCAAGATTATCTTTTGACTTCACATAGTCAATAGATATAATACCAGTTGAGAGTAGTTGTCTAATGGTATTATGTCTTCGACGGATATGTCTAGACTTACCATTATACCTATTACTTTGTGTCTTGCCTATAGCCGATGGACTATCACAATGTATACAAAAGGTCGGCGACCATTTTGGAATATCTTCTAAAAAATGGCAAAGTCATTTTGCCTCTTCTCCACTTTTGTCTAATGCTATAAGTTCGGACTCCATTGTGGATCTAGCAATAACAGTATGCTTAAAAGATTTCCACGATATGGCTGCACCTCCCAAAGTGAATAAACATCCACTAATGGATTTAGAATCTTTCATATCTGATATCCAGTTGGTATCACTATAGCCTTCAATTACATCTGGATATTTACAGTAGTGCAGACCATATTTACAAGTATATCTCAAGTATATGAGTAATTTCACAATTCCTTTCCAGTGTTCTTCTCCTTGATTACTTGTATATCTACTCAGTTTACTCACAACAAAGGCGATGTCTGGTCTAGTACAATTCATTAAGTACATCAGACTTCCTATCACCCTTGAATATTCGACTTGAGAAATACTTTCCCTTTTATTTTTTAACAGATGTTGACTTGTATCTATCGGGCTCCTAGCTTGGGTCGATTCATCCTTGTTAAATTTTTCAAGGATTTTCTCCACATAATGTGTCTGAGTCAGAACAATTCCTTATGATATTCTATGAATTTTAATTCCAAGAATCACATCAGCTAGACCCATATCTTTCATGTCAAATCTAGAATTCAACATATCTTTGGTGGATTTAATAATTTTATCATTGGTTCCAACAATGAGCATGTCATCTGCGTAAAGACATAGGATTACATAACCCTTTTCAGTGTCTTTAACATAAACACATTTATCACATTCATTAATTTTAAATCCACATTGAATCATGACATTATCAAACTTTTCATGCCATTGTTTTGGAGCTTGTTTTAAGCCATACAAAGACCTAACCAATTTACAAACTTTATTCTCTTGCCCGAGAGCAGAGAACCCTTCAGGTTGCTCCATATAGATCTTTTCTTCTAAATCTCCATTTAAAAAAGTTGTTTTTACATCCATTTGATTTATTTCAAGATTTCGTAAAGCTGCAATTGCAATAATCACCCTAATGGATGTTATCCTCGTTACTGGAGAATACGTATCAAAGTCATCAAGACCTTCATTTTGCTTATAATCTTTAATCACAACCCTAGCTTTATACTTATCAATTGTTCCATCGGGTTTCATTTTCCTTTTGAAAATCCACCTGTAGCCCAATGGTTTACTTCCAGGAGGAAGATCCCCTAGCTCCCATGTGTGATTTTGCAAAATAGAGTCAATTTCACTTTGGATTACCTCTTTTCAAAGAGGACCTTCAGAAGATTTTACCGCTTCTAAATACGTTTGTAGTTTGCTTTCGACCATATAGGTTAGAAAATCTGGACCAAAAGATTTTTTATCCTGCCTCTTTTGCTTTTCCAAGGTTCTACCTCAGCATATCCATCTTGATCTTTTTCCATTATTTTCAAATTTCTTTTAGTGGAACTAGAATCCACTTCAGAATTACGTGGAAATATATTCTCAAAAAATAAAGCATTTGTAGATTCAAGTATCGTGTTCTTATGAATTTCCTCAATTTTGGATTCATGTACAAGAAAACGATAAGCACTACTGTTGTGTGCATATCCATAAATATGCAATCAACAGTTTTTGGTCCAATCTTTATTTTCTTTGGTGTAGGTATCACTACCTTTGCCAGACACCCCCACACTCGCAAGTATTTGTAGGATGGTGGTCTTCCATGCCATAATTCATATGGACTTTCGTCTAACTTTTTACGGGGAACCTTATTTAAAAGGTAATTTGCTGACAATATAGCTTCCCCCCACATGTTCTGTGAAAGTCCAGAACTTAAGAACATTGAATTCATCATTTCTTTTGAAGTACGATTTTTTCTTTCCGCAATCTCATTTTCTTGGGGGTGAATAAGGTATTGTCATTTCATGTCTTATCACATGTTGAGACAGAATTCAGCAAAAAGGTGACTCATATTCACCTCCTCTGTCACTTCTTATCACCTTACCCTTTTTATTTAGTTGATTTTCATCTTCATTTTTATAGAGAACAAATTTCTCTACCGCGTCATTTTTACTTTTGAGACGATACACATAACAAAATTAAGTGTTATCATCTACAAAAGTAATGAAATATTTGTTTCCATCACGTCTCATTACAGCTTTTAAATCACATACATAAGTGTGAATTAAATCAAGTGGTTCACTATTTCTTTCAATAGTTTGAAACGGTAATCATGTCAATTTCGCATCAACACAAGTTTCACACTTATGTTTTGCATAGGATGATAAAGGAGCTAGTTCGCATAGAGTCATGGAACACGTACATAGAAATGATAAAGGATGATACATCAACAATGACAGAAGAAAATTTGCAAGCCCACCAGGGACTTCTTGTCGTGCTTGAAGAAGAACTGGGTCTCAAATGATTTTTTTATATTGTTTGGAGTGCTAAGCGTTCGATAATTTAAATTTTTATGCATTGTCAATCTAAGTTATTAGGTATTGTGTTAAATTTTTTGGGTGAGAGCAATGTGTTTGTTGACGTTTGTTCTACTTTGAAAAAAGTTCGTTTTTACTTGTTTTTTAACAACACATCTAACTCGCTATTATACCAAACAATTAAATTCAATTTTTTTTTCCGAACTAAAATAATTTAAATAAAATTTATCCAAAAGTAACATACTTTTACTTCTATATTGGTCAATGAATGTTTGTCGGCGTTCGTTATACTTTGAAAAATTCTCGTTTTCAATTGTTGTTTTTCGACAACATATCTAACTTGTTCTTATACCATACAATTAAATTCAATTTTTTTTCAGGGACTAAAATAATTCAAGTTTTATTTTACCGGAAATAACATACATATTATCAGGCGGTACAGTGCTTATATTATTGGTTCACCAACCACATTTAATTCATTACTCATTACACACTTGTCACCTAGAACATTAATACTACAACATAATACCTACCACATTTGTCACCCTACTACACCACTCTTGCCACCTACTACAATAATACCTAACACAAGCTAACTTAACGCAACCACTTCTCACTATAAACAGTATAGGATCATCAATACCACAATTTGTAATACGAAAACCTCTTTAAATTCCTTGTTGGTTCTTTCTTCTCGTTTTTGCCAATTTTTACAAATACAACTATTTTTTACTTCTATAAAATGGTTAGACATAATAATGATATAGTCTCATATTGTGCTTTCTTCAACGATATGCTTGACGATTCTTTGGAGTAAGATGAATTTGCCTTGATGGAGGCCACAATTATGCAATTGTAGCAAGCCGAGCAAGTTGAAAATTCAACTAGGCATGAAAGGCAAGAAGTGCCTCGAAATTGTGAAGCTGCAGATGCTCTACTGATAAGAGATTATTTTGCTCCTGATCTCATATACCAGGAAGGCTACTTTCGACATAGATTTTGGATGTTTAAACGATTATTTTGTCGGATGGTTCAAGATGTCCAAAGTCATTCTGATTATTTTAAGTGGAGATCAGACGCGACACAAAGACCAGGTTTTACACCAATTCACAAGTGTACTACGGCTATACATCAACTAGCATATGGAGCTTCTGCCGATCAATGTGATGAATACTTTCCTATGTCAGAGCTATGGCAAATCGAAGTCTGCTCGAGTTTTTTCGTGCTATGCGAGAAATTTATGCACCCCAATATTTTCGCCCCCCTAATGTCAGTGACATGCGAAGAAATCTTACATTACACGAGGAGAAACATGGTTTTCTTGGCATGTTGGAAAGTCTAGATTGTATGTACTGGGAGCGAAAAAAAATTGTCCAGTTGGATGGCAAGGCTCATACACTTAAGGTGTAACGCCCCAATCGATTTTTAAAGAAAATCCA